ACTGCGGCAGTAAGAGCGGACACAGATGACGGAGAGGCACGAGGTTCCATAACAAGAGAGGCGAAAACACAAGAGAGAACAGGTCAGTACGTGCGGTAGTAGTCAGTGACAGGAGTAGAGAGGGAAGCAGTGAGAGCCGTCTCAGGAGGAGAAGGATGTACAGAAGGAGACGAACGAGACGGACTATAACAAAACAGGGCAGTATGAAGGTCAGTGAAAGGAACAGGGGATGAGGGACGAGCACGAGAAGAGCGACGCGAAAGCCAAGTGCGGGAAAGAGGAGGGGACAACAGGGGCTGAGAAGGAAGGAAAACCGCTAGGGAGGGGTCAGGACGAGGAAGCGGAGGACCAGAGACGGGGGGAGAGGGAGAGGGGAGACCGAGGGCCCAAAGACCAGAGACAGGAGGAGGAGGTGGCGGCTGCTGCTGCTGCTGCGGCTGCGACTACTGCTGCTGCTGCGGCTGGGACTGCTGCTCCTCCAGCTGCGGCGGCTCCTGCTGCTCCTACTGCTGCGGCTGGTGCTGCTCTGGCTGCTGCTGGTGCTCCAGCCGCTGTAGCTCCAGCTGCCGCCTCTCCAACTCTCTCTCCTCTCGCTCCAACTCCAGCTGCTCCTCACGGGCACGCCGAACTCGGGCCTGGTGCCGGGTCGGGTAGGGTTGGGGAGGAGGAGTAGTGTCCGGAGCTGCGGTAGCCCCAGGAACGCTCTCCAAAGAACCTGGCGCACCACCACCAGAGCCAGTGTTGTTCAGGATCCGTCACTTCGAGAGCTTACGACGAACGCATAACTCAACTAAACGCAAATCCGCTCGGTAGGAAGTTGCGCCTTAGGCTTAGCTACCATCTCCAAGTTGAATCAGTCGTTAAGATGGTCTAGAGAGTGAGAACCATGTAAAAACGTCCAGCAGCTACATGACTAGAATGGAGGAGGAACAACAAGCATTAAGGCATAGGAAGTTGGAGTTGGGAACCTCCAAGAGAACCATGAGAGGGAAGGGGTTTTCCAAGAGCTAAGGAAGGATGGTAGGAACCTTCCTAGCAGCAAGGATGCAACCCTCATCATGAGGTCCTTGAGGTGTCACATGCAAAATCCAATCTAGTTGGATTTTGCCTAGGTGTTGCAACATTTGCAACCCATGCTAGAAACTTCTAGCCACCCCAATCCAAAACTCAAGTTGCCTTCCTAACCACCCAACCAAAGATCCCTTTATAGTCATGTCCCAATAATCGCCCAATGCAGATAATATCTCAAAATGAGATAGAATTCCCAAAGCTTGGAAATCTTGTAACTTGGGCGATCTTTGTCGGAATAAGGCGATCTTGGTATCGTTGGAAAGCTCTGGATTTCTCCTGCATGATCAAGCATTTAGACTTGGAGAAAAACACAGAGATGATAATATCCAACAGCCATGCACAATGACATATGCTCATGCAAATCATGCAAGCACAAATAGCACGAGCACTCGGCAGAACGTTAGGATGACATGCACTCAGAATGACGTGCATCCAACAAACTCCCCCTCAAACTAACAGGTTGCATGCACACACACTCACACACATGCAAGCTCTCTTGCATACAATCACACATGCACTCATGACACTGCTACCTACACTAGTGCAATGCCATGCCACACATCTTAGCACACTTCCAATGTGCGCTCTCGGGAAGTCTCTTGGTGAGAAAATCTACCGCCTGCTTGCTAGCCTTCACATGGTGAAGCTCAGCAATCCCCTCCTTCACCATCTGCCTCACCCAGTGCCACTTAATCTTCATGTGCCTGTTCAGCCCATTCAGGATAGGTTTATTGGCCATGCCAATAGCAGCCTCGCTGTCGGAGAAAAGTGGTGTAGGTCCCTCCTGTTCAGCTCCCATGTCCTCCAGCAGCTTCCTCAGGAGCACGATCTCCTGGATGGTATGGTACATCGCCATGTACTCTGCCTCTCCGGAAGACTGAGCAGTCTCACTCTGCTTCTTGGACCTCCAGCTCACTGGTCCACCTCCAACCATGCATACAAAGCCGCCAACCAATGACTGATCCTCATCCTCAGAGGCCCATGTGGCATCGGTGAAGCACGACAGCTTCAAGGTTCCAGGCGTGACCCCAACTGCTCCAATCTGTTTCAGCTGGCCGCCAGCTGAAAACTGAACACTAGCAGATGCCATTGATCCGAGGTAGCGCACCAAGCGCTTTGCCACCTCCAACTGCTCCTCAGTGGGCCGTTGCACAACTCTGGCCAGCTGCCCCACTCCGAATGAAGCATCAAGTCGCGTATGCACAGCTGCATACATCACACTCCCAATGAGTGACTGATACTCATTCTGCTGCTCATCCTCGAGTACATCATCCTCCTCAGCTGCCTTCTTCAGTTTGAAGCCCGCAGGAAACATTGTTATCACAGTGTGACCCCCAGTCACACCATACCGCTCCATGACACCAGAGATGTAGTGTGACTGATGCACCTTCAGCCACCTCCTCTCAACATCCCTCTCAATCTGTCGCCCCAAGAAGTAGTGGACATCCCCCAGCATCTTGCACTTGAAGTTGTCCATCAGCAGCTTCTGTGTCCTCTCAATCTGCTCCATGGAAGGTGAGAACAGCAGTATGTCATCGACATACACCAGCAGCAAAAGTAGCTTCTCCCCCTCTCCAAGAAGAAACAAGCTGTGATCCGCCTGGGACGTCTTGAAGCCTCCACCCAGCAGCACCTCCTCCAGCTTCTCGTACAAACACCTGGGCGCTTGCTTAAGGCCATAGATGGCCTTCTTAAGCTTGCACACCCGACTGGTCCCATACTCATAGCCATCGGGCTGCGCCATGTAGATAACCACCAACAGCACTCAATTGAAGAACGCAGTGGTGATATCCATCTGCTTCACGTGCCATCCCTTCACAGCTGCGTCAGCCATCAAAGTCCTAAGTGTCAATGGCTTAGCAACGAGAGCGAAGATCTCCCCAAAGTCGACCTTCTCTTTTCGCTGAAACCCCTTGGCGACCAAACGGCTCTTGAACCACTCCAACGCACCATCAGCACCACTCTTCACCTTGAAGACCCACTTGCTGCTGATCGGCCGTCGCCCCTCGGGTAACTCAACAAGCTTCCAAGTCCCATTTTCAATGAGACTGTTGAACTCCACATCCATGGCAGCCTTCCACTCCTCCTTCTAGGGTCCACTCAGTGCCTCCTCCAATGTGGCTGGTTCTCCATGCACAGGTGTAAAGAAACAGAACGCCATCTCCTCATCATCTCCCTCATCCGCCTGAACCGCCATGGCACCTTGCTTGGGTCCTCCCAAACGGCTATACTTCAGCCTTGAGGGTGCTGCTGCCACTCTCTTCTCGCGGGTTGCAGTCTGCTGCCCATGTGGTGAAGCTCCTCTCTGCACACTACTTTTGGTGACCTTCGCGTTTGCAGCAGGCTCGGGCTGAGTTGGTGAGTCCACACGTGCCGACTCATCCTCCAACCCCTCCTCCGCAGCAGGACCAGCACCTTGCTGCTCACCACCGCCACTGTGGTCACTGGTCAGCTCTGACCCAGGGAGATCCTCAAGGTGCAGCTGAACCTCCTCCACTGCAGACGGCTCAATTTCCTGCAGACGCAAGCCAATATGCACCTCCTGCTGCTGCCAGTCCTTGTACCTGACGTCCTCCACAAATTTGACGTCACGGCTGACCAGCATCTTCTTGCTCTTGGGGTCCCACATCAGCCACCCCTTCGAGTCAGGAGCCATCCCAAGATGGACAGCCCACACAGCAGCAACTTCAAGCTTGTGCCTCTACTGCTTAGGCGCCATCACAAGCCCCATGCAGCCCCACACCCGCAGCATGTCAATGGATGGCTTCTTCCCAAGCCAACGCTCGTACGGCACCCAATGCTTGTCATCAACATGCGTCAAGACCCTGTTCTTGACCGTGATGACATGGCGAACAGCTTCAGGCCAGAACTTGTAGGGCATCCCAGCTGTTGGATGCACATCATTCTGAGTGCATGTCATCCTAACGTCCTGCCGAGTGCTCGTGCTATTTGTGCTTGCATGATTTGCATGAGCGTATGTCATTGTGCATGGCTGTTGGATATTATCATCTCTGTGTTTTTCTCCAAGTCTAAATGCTTGATCGTGCAGGAGAAATCCAGAGCTTTCCAACGACACCAAGATCGCCTTATTCCGACCAAGATCGCCCAAGTTACAAGATTTCCATGCTTTGGGAATTCTATCTCATTTTGAGATATTATCTGCATTGGGCGATTATTGGGACATGACTATAAAGGGATCTTTGGTTGGGTGGTTAGGAAGGCAACTTTGACTTTTGGATTGGGGTGGCTAGAAGTTTCTAGCATGGGTTGCAAATGTTGCAACACCTAGGCAAAATCCAACTAGATTGGATTTTGCATGTGACACCTCAAGGACCTCATGATGAGGGTTGCATCCTTGCTGCTAGGAAGGTTCATACCATCCTTCCCTAGCTCTTGGAGAACCCCTTCTCTCTCATGGTTCTCTTGGAGTCCCCAACTCCAACTTTCAATGCCCTAATGTTTGCACTTCCTCCACCATTCTAGTCATGCGGCTGCTAGACGTTTTTTCTTGGTTCTCACTCTATAGACCATCTTAATGACTGATTCAACTTGGAGATGGTAGCTAAGCCTAAGTCGCACAATCATACCGAGCGGATTTGCGTCTAGTTGAGAATTGAGTTCGTCGTAAGTTCTCAAAGTGACGGATCCTGAACAACAAGTGGTATCAGAGCGGGTAGTCGACTTTGAGACGATGAATCTTCGTAAATTCTCAACCAATGTTGTCGATTGAGACCATTTTCTAGTAGCTCTGCTTGCGAACGTTCGATTGGTGGCCGAACCGCGTTCTAGTTCCAAGTATCCAGTCCGCGACGGTGATTTTTGTAGAATCGAAAATTCTGGCAGAATTCTCTCCAAACGATTTCTCAAGTTTCCACCGTTCATAAGGCCTCAATATGGTTGGTACGAACTCCGGAGGTGCTAGTGGCGAGATGGATAGAAGTAGAGAGGCTGGAGAGCAGGGGGGAGTTGCTGGTGGAGGAGTGGGGACTCACCAACCAGCCAACCCTACGCTGCCTACTTCTTCTACACCATCTCCTACTACCGTGGATCCTGTGAAAGCTTTCTCTATTGAGAAATTCATGGGGGAGGACTATGAGCACTGGAGTTTCCGCATGAGGCTGATGTATACCCAATACAAACTATTTGATTTGATGGAGGAAAAGGAGAAGATGCCAGAGGCCGCGAAGCTGAAAGGAGCGTGGATGAAGCGATCGTTCGACGCGTACATGCTCATGGTGCAAGCGTTGGGCGGACGGCAACTTGACCACATCAAGGACCTCTTGGGTGATCCAGAGTGTGGCCCCAAGGCTTGGAGGAAGCTTCTGGATGTGCACTCACTGACACATGCTACCGGCATCGTGCTACTCGCGCGGCGGCTGCGCGACATCAGGTTCGTTGATGGAGAGCCGATGCAACCGGTGTTGGATGAGATGCGGGACATCTTCACGAAGCTACAGGGCGGCGGTGTGGTGTACCCGGAGCACGTGCAATGCGTGGAGATCGTGATACGGCTGCCGGAGTCGTGGTCTGCCCTTGCAATCAACCTCAACTCTCAACAGCCCAAGTGGAGCATGGATTACATTCGCGCACGCATCCTAGAGGAGGACCTGCGGCGGCGGAGTGTGGAGCGCTCAGAGGAGGGGGCTGGCTATGGAGTTGGAGGTGGAAAGAGTGGCTTCAAGAAGAAGTGGAAGGGCAAGAACAAGGATAACCCTAAGGAGGATGGCGGCGGGGGTCAAGAGGAGGTGTGCTTCTACTGCAAGAAGCGCGGACATCGTTGGCGGAAGTGCTACCAACGACCCAAGGATTGGACCCCGCCTTCATCAAGCAACCACCGTGGTAGCACGAGGAGTGGGGGAGTCATGGGAGCTAGTGGAGAGGAGAAGGATGAGGAGAAAGGCGGCAAATCTGAGGAGCGGAAGGCCGGGTTCTTCTTCTTCGTGAACGAAGGCGCAACCAACCACGCTATGGCTGCCAAGGTTCTCCTACACCCCCTCACCCATTGGGTGATTGACTCGGGTAGCTCTTGGCACATGACTCCTTGTGCGGACCTACTTGATGAGATTCAGCCCGCACCCATCTCTACAGTCACATCCGCGACGGGCGTCAAGGCCAAGGTCATGGGCATGGGATGCGCCAAGTTCATGGGAGCGGATGGAGAGCTCGTGAGGCTGAAGAACGTGCTGTGGGTGCCGGACTTGTGCGCGAACCTGATTTCTACCGGCCGGTTGGGAGATGCGGGTGTGAACACCGAGACGATTGGCTCGGAGCGCTATCGTGCCTACAACGATGAGCACCTCATTTGGGATCTGCAGTGGAAGGGAGATGTTCACAAGCGGATGTGGCAGATCCCGGTCCTCCCTTGGCGGAAATTGGGCAAGACGGCAGCGGCGGCATCTATGGAGGAGAGTGTCACCGAGGAGGAGCAACAAGGTGTGCAAGGAGAGGAGCTGATTGGATCAAGCGCGGCAGTGAAGGCGTCGGCTACCTCGGGCCAAGCGGATTGGGAGACTTGGCATCGGCGGCTCGCACACGTGGCTGTTTCTACATTGGAGGTGATGCACAAGGAGAAGTGCGTGCATGGGCTGCAACTGCAAGGAGATGGCACTCACTATGGCAGCTGCGAGGCGTGCATGCAAAACAAGTTTGCGCGGTTCCCGTTTCCACGTGCAGAGGGATCAGCCAAGGCACCATTGGAGGTGGTGCACATGGACCAGGTGGGTCCTATGAGAACTGAGGGGACTGGGGGAGTGCTGTACTTCCTCACCATGGTGGACGAATGGAGCCGTTTCACGTGGGCACGTCCCTTGTCCAAGAAGAGCGATGCTGCAATCAAGGAGGATTGGTTGCCGATGGTGGAGCGGCAAGCAATGCGGTTGGTGAAGGTGCTGAGGAGTGACCGTGGTAGAGAGTTCCTTGGAGCGGAATTCACCAAGTTCCTCAAGAGAAATGGCATCCGACATCAGCTGACCTGCCCTGGAACACCGCATCAGAACGGCATTGCTGAGCGTGCCAACCGGACTATTGGCGAGGCGGCTAAGACCTTATTGGGGGCTGCTGAGATGCCCTACAAGTTCTGGCCTGATGTTGTTCGCCATGTCATCACGGTCAAGAACAGGGTCTTGACGCATGTTGGTGACAAGCATTGGGTGCTGTACGAGTGTTGGCTTGGGAAGAAGCCATCTATTGACATGCTGCGTGTGTGGGGCTGCATGGGGCTTGTGATGGTGCCTTAGGAGCAGAGGCACAAGCTGGAAGTTGCTGCTGTGTGGGCTGTCCATCTTGGGATGGCTCCTGACTCGAAGGGGTGGCTGATGTGGGACCCCAAGAGCAAGAAGTCGCTGGTCAGCCGTGACGTCAAGTTTGTGGAGGACGTCATGTACAAGGACTGGCAGCAGCAGCAGCAGGTGCAGATTGGCTTGCATCTGCAGGAGATTGAGCGGACTGCAGTGGAGGAGGTTCAGCTGCACCTTGAGGATCTCCCTGGGTCAGAGCTGACCAGTGACCAGACTGGCGGTGGTGAGCAGCAAGGTGCTGGTCCTGCTGCGGAGGAGGGGTTGGAGGATGAGTCGGCACGTGTGGACCCACCATCTCAGCCTGAGCGTGCTGCAAACGCCAAGGTCACCAAGAGAAGTGTGCAGAGAGGAGCTTCACCACATGGGCAGCAGATTGCAACCCGCGAGAAAAGAGTGGCAGCAGCACCCTCAAGGCTGAAGTATAGCCGTTTGGGAGAACCCAAGCAAGGTGCCATGGCGGTTCAGGCGGATGAGGGAGATGATGAGGATATGGCGTTCTGTTTCTTTACACCTCTGCGTGGAGAACCAGCCACATTGGAGGAGGCACTGAGTGGACCCCAGAAGGAGGAGTGGAAGGCTGCCATGGATGTGGAGTTCATCAGTCTCATTGAAAATGGGACTTGGAAGCTTGTTGAGTTACCAAAGGGGCGACGGCCGATCAGCAGCAAGTGGGTCTTCAAGGTGAAGAGTGGTGCTGATGGTGCGTTGGAGTGGTTCAAGAGCCGTTTGGTCGCCAAGGGGTTTCAGCGAAAAGAGAAGGTCGACTTTGGGGAGATCTTCGCTCCCGTTGCTAATCCATTGACACTGAGGACTTTGATGGCTGGCGCAGCTGTGAAGGGATGGCACGTGAAGCAGATGGATATCACCACTGCGTTCCTAAATGGAGTGCTGCTAGAGGACATCTACATGGCGCAGCCCGACGGCTATGAGGATGGGACCAGTCGGGTGTGCAAGCTTAAGAAGGCCATCTATGGCCTTAAGCAAGCACCCAGGTGTTGGTACGAGAAGCTGGAGGAGGTGCTACTGGGTGGAGGCTTCAAGACGTCACAGGCGGATCACAACTAGTTTCTGCTTGGAGAGGGGGAGCAGTTGCTTTTGCTGCTGGTGTATGTCGATGACATACTGCTGTTCTCACCCTCCATGGAGAAGATTGAGAGGACACAGAAGCTGCTGATGGACAACTTCAAGTGCAAGATGCTGGGGGATGTCCACTACTACTTGGGGCGACAGATTGAGAGGGATGTTGAGAGGAGGTGGCTGAAGGTGCATCAGTCACACTACATCTCTGGTGTCATGGAGCGGTATGGTGTGACTGGGGGTCGCATTGTGATGACACCGTTCCGTGCAGGCTTCAAATTGAAGAAGGCAGCTGAGGAGGATGATGTGCTTGAGGATGAGCAGCAGAATGAGTACCAGTCACTCATTGGGAGTGTGATGTATGCAGCTGTGCATACGCGACCTGATGCTTCATTCGGAGTGGGGCAGCTGGCCAGAGTTGTGCAACGGCCCACTGAGGAGCAGTTGGAGGTGGCAAAGCGCTTGGTGCGCTACCTCGGATCAACGGCATCTGCTAGTGTTCAGTTTTCAGCTGGCGGCCAGCTGAAACAGATTGGAGCAGTTGGGGTCACGCCTGGAACCTTGAAGCTGTCGTGCTTCACCGACGCTACATGGGCCTCAGAGGATGAGGATCAGTCATCGGTTGGCGGCTTTGTGTGCATGGTTGGAGGTGGACCAGTGAGCTGGAGGTCCAAGAAGCAGAGTGAGATTGCTCAGTCTTCCAGAGAGGCAGAGTACATGGCGATGTACCATGCCATCAAGGAGATCGTGCTCCTGAGGAAGCTGCTGGAGGACATGGGAGCTGAACAGGAGGGACCTACACCACTTTTCTCCGACAGCAAGGCTGCTATTGGCATGGCCAATAATCCTATCCTGAATGGACTGAACAGGCACATGAAGATTAAGTTGCAGTGGGTGAGGCAGATGGTGAAGGAGGGAGCTGTTGAGCTTCACCACGTGAAGGCTAGCAAGCAGGCAGCAGATTTTCTCACCAAGAGACTTCCCGAGAGCGCACATTGGAAGTGTGCTAAGATGTGTGGCATGGCATTGCACTAGTGAGGGCAGCAGTGTCATGAATGCATGTGTGATTGTGTGCATGAGACTATGCATGTGTGTGAGTATGTGTGCATGCACTCCGTTAGTCTGAGGGGGAGTTTGTTGGATGCTCGTCATTCTGAGTGCATATCATCCTAACGTCCTGCCAAGTGCTCGTGCTATTTGTGCTTGCATGATTTGCATGAGCGTATGTCATTGTGCATGGCTGTTGGATATTGTCATCTCTGTGTTTTTCTCCAAGTCGAAATGCTTGATCATGCAGGAGAAATCCAGAGCTTTCCAACGACACCAAGATCGCCTTATTCTGACCAAGATCGCCCAGATTACAAGATTTCCAAGATTTGGATTTCTTATTACCTTTTGGGGTTATATCTAATTTGGGTGATTACTTGGGACATGACTATAAAGGGATCTTTGGTTGGGTGGTTAGGAAGGCAACTTTGACTTTTGGATTGGGGTGGCTAGAAGTTTCTAGCATGGGTTGCAAATGTTGCAACACCTAGGCAAAATCCAATTAGATTGGATTTTGCATGTGGCACCTCAAGGACCTCGTGATGAGGATTGCATCCTTGCTGCTGGGAAGGTTCCTACCATCCTTCCCTAGCTCTTGGAGAACCCCTTCTCTCTCATGGTTCTCTTGGAGTCCCCAACTCCAACTTTCTATGCCCTAATGTTTGTACTTCCTCCACCATTCTAGTCATGCGGCTGCTGGACGTTTTTACTTGGTTCTCACTCTTTAAACCATCTTAATGACTGATTCAACTTGGAGATGGTAGCTAATCCTACGGCGCACAATCATACCGAGCGGATTTGCGTTTAGTTGAGAATTGAGTTCGTCGTAAGTTCTCAAAGTGACGGATCCTGAACAACACCAGCAGCCCCCAACAGAGTCTTAGCCGCCTTGCCAATGGTCCGGTTGGCACGCTCAGCAATGCCGTTCTGCTGCGGTGTTCCTGGGCAGGTCAGCTGGTGTCGGATGCCGTTCCTCTTGAGAAGCTTGGTGAATTCCGCTCCAAGGAACTCTCTACCACGGTCACTCCTCAGCACCTTCACCAACCGCATTGCTTGCCGCTCCACCATCGGCAACCAATCCTCCTTGATTGCAGCATCGCTCTTCTTGGACAAGGGACGTGCCCACGTGAAACAGCTCCATTCGTCCACCATGGTGAGGAAGTACAGCACTCCCCCAGTCCCCTCAGTTCTCATAGGACCCACCAGGTCCATGTGCACCACCTCCAATGGTGCCTTGGCTGATCCCTCTGCACGTGGAAACGGGAACCGCGCAAACTTGTTTTGCATGCACGCCTCGCAGCTGCCATAGTGAGTGCCATCTCCTTGCAGTTGCAGCCCATGCACGCACTTCTCCTTGTGCATCACCTCCAATGTGGAAACAGCCACGTGTGCGAGCCGCCGATGCCAAGTCTCCCAATCCGCTTGGCCCGAGGTAGCCGACGCCTTCACTGCCGCGCTTCCTCCAATCAGCTCCTCTCCTTGCACACCTTGTTGCTCCTCCTCGGTGACACTCTCCTCCATAGATGCCGCCGCTGCCGTCTTGCCCAATTTCCGCCAAGGGAGGACCGGGATCTGCCACATCCGCTTGTGAACATCTCCCTTCCACTGCAGGTCCCAAATGAGGTGCTCATCGTTGTAGGCACGATAGCGCTCCGAGCCAATCGTCTCGGTGTTTACACCCGCATCTCCCAACCGGCTGGTAGAAATCAGGTTCGCGCACAAGTCCGGCACCCACAGCACGTTCTTCAGCCCCACGAGCTCTCCATCCGCTCCCATGAACTTGGCGCATCCCGTGCCCATGACCTTGGCCTTGGCGCCCGTCGCGGATGTGACTGTAGAGATGGGTGCGGGCTGAATCTCATCAAGTAGGTCCGCACGAGGTTTCATGTCCCAAGAGCTACCCGAGTCAATCACCCAATGGGTGAGGGGGTGTAGGAGAACCTTGGCAGCCATAGCGTGGTCGGTTGCGCCTTCGTTCACGAAGAAGAAGAACCCGGCCTTCCGCTCCTCAGATTTGCCGCCTTTCTCCTCATCCTTCTCCTCTCCACTAGCTCCCATGACTCCCCCACTCCTCGTGCTACCACGGTGGTTGCTTGATGAAGGCGGGGTCCAATCCTTGGGTCGTTGGTAGCACTTCCGCCAACGATGTCCGCGCTTCTTGCAGTAGAAGCACACCTCCTCTTGACCCCCGCCGCCATCCTCCTTAGGGTTATCCTTGTTCTTGCCCTTCCACTTCTTCTTGAAGCCACTCTTTCCACCTCCAACTCCATAGCCAGCCCCCTCCTCTGAGCGCTCCACACTCCGCCGCCGCAAGTCCTCCTCAAGGATGCGCGCGCGAATATAATCCACACTCCACTGGGGCTGTTGAGAGTTGAGGTTGATCGCTAGGGCAGACCACGACTCCGGCAGCCGTATCCCAATCTCCACGCATTGCACGTGCTCCGGGTACACCACACCGCCGCCTTGGAGCTTCGTGAAGATGTCCCGCATCTCATCCAACTCCGGTTGCATCGGCTCTCCATCAACGAACTTGATGTCGCGCAGCCGCCGCGCGAGTAGCACGATGCCGGTAGCATGTGTCGGTGAGTGCACATTCAGAAGCTTCCTCCAAGCCGTAGGGCCACACTCTGGATCACCCAAGAGGTCCTTGATGTGGTCAAGTTGTCGCCCGCCAACCGCTTGCACCATGAGCATGTATGCGTCGAACGATCGCTTCATCCATGCTCCTTTCAGCTCCGCGACCTCTGGCAACTTCTCCTTCCCCTCCACCAAATCCAATAGCTTGGGTTGGGTATACATCAGCCTCATGCGGAAACTCCAGTGCTCGTAGTCCTCCCCCATGAACTTCTCATCAGAGAACGCCTTCACATGATCCACGGTTGTAGGAGATGGTGTAGAAGTTGAGGGTAGCGTAGGGTTGGCTAGTTGGTGAGTCTCCACTCCTCCACCAGCAACTCCCCCTTGCTCTCCAGTCTCTCTACTTCTATCCATCTCGCCACTAGCACCTCCGGAGTTCGTACCAACCATATTGAGGCCTTATGAACGGTGGAAACTTGAGAAATCGTTTGGTGAGAATTCTGCCAGAAATTTTGATTCTACGAAAATCGCCATCGCAGACAGGATACTTCGAACTAGAACGCGGTTTGACCACCAATCAAAAGTTCGCAAGCAGAGCTACTAGAAAATGGTCTCATGCGTCAACATTGGTTGAGAATTTACAACGATTTGTCGTCGCAAAGTCGACTACCCGCTCTGATACCACTTGTTGTTCAGGATCCGTCACTTTGAGAGCTTACAACAAACTCATTTCTCAACTAAACGCAAATCCGCTCGGTAGGATGTTGCGGCTTAGGCTTAGCTACCATCTCTAAGTTGAATCATTTGTTATGATGGTCTAGAGAGTGAGAACCATGTAAAAACGTCCAA